GACAACACTCGTCAATAAAGTTGTCTGTGGGAGGATGAAGGTGTTCGCAGGACTTGGTTTTCTCGTCCATTGCAAAAAGTTCTCGGCACACTGCCCGGCATTAGTTCGAAACAACGCTCGAGTCGCCACCCAGCTTGGGGAGAAGGGCATTGTCGGAAGACCTCAAGAGAACGGCCATCGAGGTTTCCCGGTCCAGGAAATATGATCGATTATCGGCCGTAAAAATTTATCGCAGCAGCACGAAATGCGGGCGGCCGTGCGATGGCGTGAGGCGGAGTGCTGGGCTCCTGGTGTTTTGGCTGTAGGAGCCGTTGTCTGGCACCAATCGGTGTCCGGCAGAGAGTTGTTGCCCACGAGATCAGTGCATAGGAATTCATTAATGCCAATGTTGGTCAAGGGCGGTACAGAAAGAGGTTCGAACAAGGCGGCATATAGGGGTAACGTTATCAGAGCTTTAACATCTCTGGCCGTAATGGCGAAGACGTTCCGGAATGAGGACAACGCTCTTACTGAAATTGAGAAGTTGTTGTCCGGCGACGAGTGGGTACGAGTGAAGTGTATTAGAGAGAAAGATTTGTCAGAGTGTCAGCTCATTTACGTGGAGCTGGGCACAATCATTTCGTTGTTTGTCACCTCTCCCTTTGGGGATGTCTCGGAAAAGGCACAGGAGACGGTGTCAAGGTTGCTGCAAGGAGTGGGAGGACGAAGACTGCGAAACCATTGGATCGCAGGTTGCCTACTACAACGTGCCGGGGTCTCCACAAAAAAGCTAATTGATTTTATAGTTGATACTTTAGGATACATACCGGCAGCGCGTACGACGGCATTTGAATTTCTTACCAAAAGGGACGTACCGTACTCTAGGTACGTTCTCCGGCCAACTACGACGGATAGGAAAAAGATGCTGCTCGCTCGAGAAAAGTTGCTACCCATGACCAAGATTACCGCGCGCGACTTTGCAAAGCGGATTTACCCCGTAACAAACATAGCCACAAGCGCAATTAAATACATAGCAACCAAGCCGCGTAACTCTCCTCCTCCTGCAATGCCAGTGGGGGTATATTATCCTCGCTGCTCGGCGGTCGACGTCGATTCCGCCGCATTCGAATCTGTAAGAGAAAAACTGAGTGGCGACTATCAAAAAGAGATCCTATCCGGCCGAAGAGTTCCACAGTACAGATTCGACGTGTGCAGCTTGGACTATGTGGAGTTTGGTGCACTTCTTGAGAACTATACACAACACGCGTTTGGTGCCGTAGGTTCGGAGATTTTTCGCAAGATAGCTGATCTCATGGAGGAAAGGTACAGCTCTTGGCGAGTCAGGGCCTGGGTATCGGGGTGCTTGCTACAGGATGCTGAGAAGCCGATTCCGTGGCTGCTTGACTTGTGTCTCCAAGATTTAAATTATGTCCCGCCGACTAGTTGGAGACTGGAATGTCTGAAGGCACGCAACGAGCTGTATAAATGGCGCAACAGACTGAAGCCAGCTAATCCGAAGATGCGTTTCTACGAACTTGTAGGCGGCCTAAATGAGAAGATCTCCATCCCGGAGTTCAAAAGATTGGCGGCGATGAGCGGCAAAAAACAAAAAGAGTTTCTGTGCGAGAAGTATCACTCATACTCGAAGAGCACAAGGGCTCTTGGCTGCACACCACCAGCTGCAACGAAGCTAGCCCCGAGCCCATCAGCACCAAGCCAACCAGCTCAAATTCCGAAACAGGAGAAACCAGCGGGAAACTCATCTTCGCGTACTGTGGAGCCGAGCGGGCCCGCAGCCACCCTCAGTCCTGCAATGATGTACTGCCATCCGAACGACCTCATCGAGTTTCTTGATCGGGTGGAATCAAACATTCAGGACCCTCTCATGCGTGTGTGACTCCGGCGATTCCCCCACGTAGATTATTTCTAGATAAAGATCTTCTTGCGTGGGCGAATGCGTAAACTGCCAATGACCTAAGCTGAACCCGACCTAGCTCTGAGACCGCTCGGCCTGGCCATCCCTGGCCATCCCACGCCCGGGAAAACTATACGTGTGATTATGCGGCCATCCGCCTTATGTTTCTATGCGCACTAAAGTGTGTGCGCACAAACACGCAAACAAAAAATCTTGGAGCTAAGGAAGCGCTGCGTCTCTGCAGTCCACGGAAGGTTTGTGCCATTTAAAATGTCCCGAGAGGGATAAATAATTCCCCCGTTCCTCAAAGGCCGCGAGACCAGAACCTCGCGTAAAGAAGGTACCGCCGAGGATTGTCCGGAAATGGGAGAATCGCTAGTGCTGGTTGTCGAACTGAGCTAGTCCCAGTTCGAACGTCATCTACCAACCCAAAGAGATCTCCCTCCTTCCTACGAGGCCTCTCCCTGTGACGGAGAGCCCAACAAACCTGCGCCGGAGTTCTTCCCCAGTGGCGGGGAGAATTACGGAACAACTGGTGGACGACCAAAGGGTGATCCCTGCGATGACCCGGAGCTGGCCAATGCTGGTAAGGTCAGATACAATTTCCAGCAAACCTTCAAGACGGAGTACGAACTTGGGTACCTCCCGTACTACGAGGTACTTGGCCGTCTTGATGCGTTTTTCGGCGAAGCTAGCGTTGGCACCACCAAGCTGGACAAATTTGACGCCATAAGACCAGGCCC